GGTCGGTCGCGAACAAGAGATAAGAGCCGGCTCTTTGAAGTGAACGACGGGAGCCGGCTCCCAATCGAGAGCGATTTTTTTTTTTTTTTTTTAATTGTCATTTAAAGCTGCATTGGTCAACATGTGGCTGTGGCAGCGTCTGTGTAACGACACTGAGCAGGAGGGGGGAGGGGAGGGGTTACAGACACTCGCATTTTGTGTTTTGTTTTTCACTGTACATGGTTGCACATTATAATTTATATTTTGTTGAGTGATGTTTAGTTGATTTTGTGTTTTTTCACAAATTAAAATGGGTCTTTTTTATTTAAAATTTATTTATGTATATGTTAAGTTATGTTAAGTTTATTAATAAAGCCATATACATACTATACATATGTTATATTTTATGTTTTTTTACATTAGTTATTCATTTTACACATAATTTGGTAATAAATTAATTTAAGTAACAAAAAATCTGAGGAGCCACTTGGGAGCCGAAAGAGCCGGCTCTTTTCAGTGAGCCGAGCCAAAAGAGCCGGCTCTCCACAAAGAGCCGGAATTCCCATCACTACGGGAGACACAATCAGGGATCAGTTGCACACAGACAAGGAGGAGGCAGGGCAGACAGGAACCTGGAACAGAGACACGGGTGAGTGCTCACAAAATAAAACAGGAAGACCAGACATGAAACATGAGGGAGAAAATTTAACCGGAAGCATGACAGTAAGTGCACGCGATGACATTGTTCTTTGTAGTTGTGTGTGTCCTTGGTCCAAACAGAAAGACAAACTCGACTGGCAGTGGAAAAGGCGTCAAAAGGCTTTTATTAGTGCATTTACCCGCGTCTAAAAAAACCTTCTTATACCTGATAATTTTGGTGGAAAAAGGGCATGACTCTAACTTTATACACAACAGTGAGCATGTAAGGGAGGGGCTGTCCCATAAATGTTACAAGTTTGTTGCTAGAATAAGCTTCCTACAGCTGCCTCATCTTAATCACAGAACATACTGCTGCTCTTCCTGACTGAGGCGTCTGATTCCACTTCCTGTTTGAGAGGCTAAAATGCACAGGAAGTAAATCTCTTAATCAAAAAAATAAGAAAAGATGGTGTTGGGTGATGTCATAAAGTAGTGTGGGATCATGGGAGTTGTTGTCTTCATCACCATTACCGTAAGATCCAGTTTTACATTTAAAGTAAGTGTTTAAGTGACGCTGTACGGAGGACAGAGACTCAGGGAAGAGTTGGAGCTGAGATTGATGCTAACCTGTTTGGATTGTTTCTCTGATAACTTATGATGTTCAGCAGGTTTTTACCAGCAGCTGAATTATCCACAGAGGTGTCCTCCTCTCCATAACAAACACACCAGGGGATTAAAACCAGTAGAAACACCCAGAAAACAGTTTACCTTTAAAAATCAATTATTCAGGGCGGCTCACCTGGTAGAGGTCAGACAATCACAGCGCTGACGCATGATCATAGAGGATATGATGTCATGATAGACAACCAAATGTGTTACCATGATTAAAACCATAGATTTCTTTGGTTTGAGAATTGATGGAAACATTTGGGAAAATGTAAAAACACAACTCAACAACATATAGAACATAGGTCTAGTTCTTTTTGGACATAAGTGGATAAACTTTCATCTGATTACCTCCCTTCTATAATTCACTTTAATTCTTGCCTCTGTGGTTTTGTATTAGTTGACAAATGACACAGAGAAGTGCATAGGCTGCATCATAACTTAAACTTTTATTTCACCAGTAAAATAATAAGATGTAAATTACATTTGGATTTAGTAAACACCAGCTATAAGAGTTTGTCTGGATACTTTCTGATTCCCTGCTGTATGTGACTCTGAGCCCAATGGCTCCTGCTGAAGATGTAAACCTTTAAACTGGTTTCACTGGTTTACGTCTTAAAAAAAGACTCAGCCATTTCCTCAAGCAGCTGGTCCCTGTAGTTTCTAGCCCAAATGGGAAAAAACAGCAATGCATTTGTTGGGGACTGTTTTGAGCAGCAGATTAATCCACATTTGATGCTCTAGTGAGTATATGCAGCAGAATGACGTGTGTAGGACTGAGTCAAAATAAGCTACAGTGTGTGTGTTCATGGTGACAAAGTAAAATGTCAGTCAGTGTAACAGTGTGGATCACTGTTGTGTTTTCATTCGTTTCTAGACAACAGTGGAGCTCTGTGGCTCAGAGGAACGATATATCAGGTTTTAAATACACCCATGTTTCAAGCACCAATTCTTAAATTTCACATGGTTTATTAATAGTCATGACAAAACGTTACCACTCCAACATAATACACAGCTCATATGAAATGAAGTGCACCCTACCACACACACACTGGCCAATTCACTCAGGAGAAGCAGGTAGACCTCTCTATCAGTGTTGTTCATGAACGTGTTCAATAATTTTAGTGAACGCTGAATGGAACCAATCAGTTTACAAATGATGAACGTGAGAGTGAACCCCGCTCACGTTTTACCATCAGTTTTACGGCACGCCAAACAACGTCTCCATAGACACGGCCCAGCTTGGCTGGTGCTAGCAGTACAGGGGGTACAGACGCATCTACTACTACTGAAGCCAATTTGTTTGAGCATTTGAAGCAGCTTTATGAACAAACAAGTGAAGACTCAGAGGGATTATATTTATATAGGGATTTTAAATGTAACTCATGTCTGTGATTCTTCAGTGGTGTACAATAATTCATTTAGTTTGGGAGTGGCAATGATTTGGGGCTGGTGATGGATGGTAGAAGGAGGTTCTATTGAAAAAAAATGCTTTTATTTATTTAAAAAAAATGTAACAAATGACCGTGAACTAGTTCATTTTTGGAACTGTGAATTTAGTTCAAAATTTAAAAAATGAACTGTGAACTATTTCATTTTCATCTGTATGAACTGAACTTTGAGCTAGTTCTTTTTAAGGGGCACAACACTGCTCCCTATCTCTCTTAATGGAAAGTCTTTTACTCAGTGTACTGGCAAAGGCAACAGAATATAACACAAGCACCAGAATAGTGACTGTTAGTTTGCCAGTGTTGTGCAAGTTCACACTTCACAGGAGCTAGCTGAAAGTTCAGTTCACACAGACTCAAGTGTTCATAGTTCACAATTTTTAATTTTGAACTAAGTTCACTTCGTTCACTTTCTTTAAAAATGTGAGATTTCTTAATCTGGAACTGATTTGTTCATAAAAGTCAAATGTTCATTTGGCAGGTTTCAGCAGCACCAGCTGCTGCGTTGTTGACCTGCCCATAGACTGCGTATAATGCATGCCAGGTACCGGCTGTGTTTAAAAACGCATTGTTTACAAAATGTTTCATTATCATCTTGATCATATGGGGAACCAACTTGAAAGGGGAACAACCTTAGACTACACTTGTACAACGCTTGTTAGTCATATTATATTTGAATTTTCAGACTCTCTGATTGACTGGTTCATGAAGTTTATATTATCTATTTGTATGTATGGTCAATAAAAAATAATAAAATACTGTTGAAGAATGAAAAATTGGTTGTTGTGTGAACTGGAGGAATTTTAAATATTCTTTTCTCATTCTAAGGAAAATAAGCATAAAGTACAAAACAGAGAGCTTTTGAAAAATTTGCATCTTATAATAAAGTGCTTAGAGTTCAAGCTAAATATCTTGGGTTTCCTTTTCTCTTCTTTTTTGTTTACTCCACTTCACATCTGAACAGTCTGAACCATTTTTAATAAACAATCTCAACATGTCTTAACAACTGAACAGCTTTAACACCTCCTTTCTTCTTATATCCCACTCCCCCACTTTTGTCTCCGACTATTGTCTCATGTGTATCTCACTCATTGACTTGAGTCGCAACGATTGGCTGAGTGGTATCATGTGACCAGTGCTGGTTAAAATAGAAACGCTTACTCAAAATGTAATAATTCTCAATATTTTATAGGTTGTAGGTCAGGGTCCAAACAGGGTGGGGCCTGGGCCTGGGTCTGGACCCAGACCACGGTCCACCTACCACTGACCTCGGCTGTAGGGAAAACACTAAACACACTATACTGTAGTTGTTGGTAGGACACATTCATTGTTGGTTTGAGTCTGTGGGATTTGTTGACTGTGAAAAGTCATACATTTTATGTTTTGTGATAATCTTGTCATATAAATCAAGTATCTATTTTAGAAGTTGTGCATTATTTTGTATTTTTCTTCTTTCAAATGTCAGTATACAGCAGAGTTTATACTATGGTCTGTACTCCTGTACTGAGTTGCTGTGTTGGCTGTAAGAACATGGCAATTTATATGATTTTGTTTAATGGAACTAACCCATGCAGCCCCCATTACAAGATTTTAAACACATCAGAATGAGGATTCGCTGTTTTGCTTTATATTTCACATCCTTATAAATTAAATGTCTAAACTTAATGACTGAAGTATTTTAGAGTGATAGAAATAGGGCATAATTCACACTTCCATGGCATTTGTCCGTATCATTGCCTCTGTTTTTTTTCAACATTTCAAGTGCATGTTGTTGCTGCTTAGCCATGTGCTCCTCTCTACCAGTCCAGGCAGAGAATCTGACGTGTGGTACAACACGTCCTGGGAGAAAGTTTGATAAACTTGGCGCTTTCTTGGAGAGTTAACGTATATTGACACACATAACATACGGACAGCTACAGTGCCTTGACATCCCATAAAAATAGAATACAGGCATACTGCTTTGTGAAGCACTGCTTTATGCTGCTGCTGAGCAAGACAAAGCTAAATTCAGCTTGGATGGTTCTGTAGCTCACTTAAGCAGCAAGGTTTTAGATAACACCAGTTTACAACACTAACAGGTGGTCAAGCAGTGTCCTGCATGAAGTGCAGATATGTCTAATTGGTGTGGATCAAAATAAAAAAAAAAAACATTCATTAAAAACAAAGTTTTGAAGAAAGCTGAGGAGTTTGCAGCTGTGTAAGTCAAAAGCTATTGAATTTATTCAAAGTTAAAAACAGAGACAGCTCTACATGTACATGTGTCAGATATATTCATGTTGTTCCTGCCTCAATCACTATCTGTGCTGGAGTGTTATAGTGCACAGACAGCCGTGTAGCTTCATCCACTGCTCTCAGGAACACACTTGTGTTTTTTCACACTTGACTGTCGAGTGAATTTTCTCCCACAGACACGGCAGCTGAAGGACTTCTCCCCCGTGTGGTGTGTCATGTGTTGCGTCAGATGTCCTTTCTGTGTGAATCTTTTATCACAGATGGAGCAGCTGAATGGTTTCTCTCCTGTGTGGATCCTCATGTGTTTCAACAGTGACTGACTGAGTGTGAAACTGGTGTTACACACTGAGCAGCTGTACGGCTTTTCTCCTGTATGAACTCTCATGTGTCTGGCCAGGATTCCACTTTGGACGAAGCGTTTAGGACAGAACGCGCAGCTGAACGGTCTCTCTCCTGTGTGGGTTCTCATGTGAGTCCCCAAACCTGTGCTCTGTGCAAATCTCTTACCACAGACTGAGCAGCTGAAGGGTTTCTCCCCTGTGTGAGTTCTGATGTGTCTCACAGCATCTCCTTTATAGTTGAACTGTTTCTTACAGATCAAACACATGCAGGTTTTTTCTCCTGAGTGAGTTCTCTTCACTGACACTAAATGTGAGTTCTGTGCAGATCTGGGAACACAAACTGAGCAGATGAATGGTTTCTCTCCTGAAGCACTTCTCATGTGGCTCAGCCCACGGTCCTTGGGGTCAAATGTTTTACCACACCTACAGCAGCTTAGACACTTCCTGCCACTGTTACATTTTTTATCATCTCCAGGAACACCATTGTTTTTCAGTGATTTTAAATCTGTCTGAGGTTCTCTTGTCTCTGTCCAGTCTTCATTACTGTTCTCTGGATCAGAATCGTTCGACTCTGATCCTTCACGGCCCTGTCCATCACCTTCTGTTTCCACCTGTAGAGCTGAGCTGCTGGCTGTAGGCTCTGTCTCTCCTGTCTCCTCCTCAGTTTGTCTTTGATGAAGGTGTGAGGACCGAGCTGCCTCTGCATCATCTTCACTCTTCAAAGAGACAGGTCCTTGAAGCTGCTCTCCTTCCTGACTGCTCCACAGTTGCTCCTGTTCGTCTTTAATATGGGGAAGCTCGGGGCCCTGCTGAACATCTGCAGATAACACAAACAGATGAATGCAGACACACATGGACATTTTGAAAAATGTTATATGGTCAGCACACCAAGTGCAGTAATCACACATTTGTTTCCTGCCAGTCTGCTGTTGCATGAATGCTGCAAAGTGTGTATTTGTAGGTGGCTCATTCGTGCCATCAGCCATCAGATTGCACAACGCCTCTGCACCCAGTCTAAGACTCAAATCCAAAAATCTCAAGAAAGACTGTTATACACAAATGATATATTACTATAGAATTGGGACAAATTGCACAGCCACTTATTTTTATACTGCACATGAACAGAACAGCCTACATTGCATTGTATATCGTTATTTTATATAGTATTTCTATTTTATCTTATTTATTTTAGATTCTGTTTCTATTCTCATTTTATTTCTTATATTTCCCTCTTGTTGCTGCTTTTCTTTCGTGCTGCTGTGTCAAATTTGAATTATGTATCTTATTTCATTTATATAACAAGTGGCAGCAAGTCCTTGTAGCTCATAGATTTTTGCAATATATTTTTATATATAAATATATTTTTTTGTCGATTGATGTTTTTTATTCTATGTCGTTATTTCGTCTGACGATGGAGAAAATAATGTACAAAAAGGAAGAACTCCTGGCTTTAAAGTTTACCGGATATGGAGTTAAACATCCCATACCGGCTGAGCTGAAGAAGCTGTTCCGTGGACGCAGAGCCAGGGCTAAGCTAAAGGCTATGAGATGGAGATATAAGCCTTTTCTACCATCGATCCTCATGGGAAATGTCAACTCCCTGGCTAAAAACTGTGATGAACTGGAGGCACTTGTGAAGAACCAGCGAGCATATCGTGAGTGTAGTCTCATGTGTTTCACAGAGACCTGGTTAACGACAACACCCCCGACCGTTGTGTGGATTTACCCGGCTTCACTACAGTACGAGCGGACAGAGACGCCAGAGCAAGTGGAAAGAATAAATGTAGATGACTGGTTCTGCTTGTGAACAGTAGATGGTGCAACCAGGTCACATCACAGTGAAGGAGAAGATCTGCTGTTGGGATACTGAACTGTTGGCAGTTGGTCTTAGACTGTACTATATACCAAGGGAGTTCTGTCACATCTTCGCCATTGTTGTTTACATTCAACCACGAGCAGAGCCTGCAGTCACATGTGACGTCATTCATGAGACTGTTGCGAGAGTACAGACCCAGCACCCTGATGCATTCATTGCAATATTGGGGGATTTTTACCATGTCCCTCTCACCTCTCACCTGACTGGCTTCACTCAGTATGTTGACTGTCCCACAAGGGAAAATAAGACACTGGATCTGTTGTATGCAAATGTCAAGGAGGCCTACACTGCTTCAGCTCTACCACCACTTGGCAGATCAGATCATAATCTGGTTTTTCTTCAGCCTTCCTACAAGCCCTGTGTACTGAGGCAGGCTGCAACCACCCGCTCATTCAGGAACTGGACCCCAGAGACCAGTGAGTCTCTAAAAGACTGTTTTGAGTGCATGGATTGGAATGTCCTGTTGGAATCACAGGAAAATGATAAAAGCAAGGACCCTGACCTTGATAAAATGGTTGAATGTACCACAGACTACATTAACTTCTGTATGGACACTGTAATACCAGCAAGAACTGTACACTGCTTTCCAAACAACAAACCCTGGATCACCAGTAACATCAAGACCCTCTTCAACCAGAAAAAGGAGGCCTTCAGGGATGGAGACAGGGAGAAACTCAGGTGTGTGCAACATGAGCTGAAGAGGAGATTAAAGCAGGCAAAGGAGGACTACAAAAAGAAAGTAGTGGGGAAGCTGCAGCACAACAACACCAGAGAGGTGTGGAAGGAGATGAGGAAAATCACTGGCTATAGAGAGAAGAACAGCCAGGCAACATCAGGTGATGTGGACAACGCCAATGAGTTCAACCTGTTCTACAACAGGTGTGACACAGCCTCACCTGTTCTCTCTCCCACTGCTTCAGCTGCAGCTTCTCCTACAGCATCTCCTCCACAACCTGACACTGCAACTGCAACTCCCTCCACACTGGGGTCAAGTCTCCTGTCCTTTACAGCAGAACAAATGAATCTGAGCCTCTCCAGAGGATTTTCAACTTAAGTTTACAAACAGGGAGGGTCCTGGTCCTGTGGGAAACATCATTTCTTGTTCCGGTCCCTAAAGTAGGACGACTAGCTGAGATAAATGACTACCGACCTGTGGCCCTCACATCACACATCGTGAAGAGCCTGGAGCGGCTACTTATCCACCTTCTGAGGCCACAGGTTGAACATGCACTAGACCCCCTATAGTTCACCTACAAAGAACATATTGGAGTGGATGACGGTGTCCTTTACATGCTCCACCTGGCCCATGCTTACTTGGATGAGCCAGGTAGTTAGATGAGAATTATGTTCTTTGATTTCTCAAGTCCTCCTTCTGAACACCTCCAAGACCAAGGAGATGGTCATCGACTTTCGGAGGTCTAGGCCCACCCTTCGGCCAGTCAGCATTCAGGGGAGGGCATTGAGGTGGTGCACACTTATAAATACCTAGGTGTGCACCTGGACAGTAAACTGGACTGGTCCCTGAACACAGAGACCATCTACCTGAAGGGGCAGAGCTGGCTCTTTTTCCTCAAGAAGCTCAGGTCCTTTGACGTCTGCAGTGAAATGCTGCACATGTTTTATCAGTCAGTGGTGGCCAGTGTACTCTTTTATGCTGCAGTCTGCTGAGGCAGCAGCATGTCAGACATGAACACAAAGAGACTGGACAAGCTGGTCAAAAAGGCTGGGTCTGTGCTTGGCAGGAGTCTGGACTCACTCAGGACTGTTGTGGAGAGACACATGCAATGTAAGATGGAGGCCATCTTGGACAATACCAACCATCCTCTCCACAACATTCTGGCAGGACAGAGAAGCAGCTACAGCTGCAGCAAACGTCTCGTCTCACACTATTGCACCTATATTGCTATACTGCACCTATTTTCTTCGCATTGAAGACATTTTCTTTATAAATTCAGTCGTCTTGTTTGCAATGTTCTGTATGTTGAAACACAAAATCAAGTCAAAGAGAATCATGTATTTTTTTAAGACCCTGGCTTCAGATTTTAAATTTTTGAAATGTATATATTGGTTGCCAAGACATTTCATTAAATGTTCAGTAACTGTGAAATGCCCCATTCACAGTTAAAAACAAATGAAAAGTGAACAACTTTCACTGTTTCCCGTTTTAGTGTTAGGTGTGAGTTGACGATGCAGTGAGAGCACAGCTTCTCTTCACAGCACTTGCGTCTGATGTTTTCAAACGTTTCCATGGTTTAATCTATTTATACATCTAGAGGCTACTTCTTGTTAGCTTCAGCTTCAGGTGAACTTTGGATGGAGGAGGGGGTGAGTTGGATAAAAATATATAACCTACATACAAACGAACATTTAATTAACGTTTGAAGGTGAAATTATTCTGAGATCAGACCAGTGTTTGGAGATAATGTCCATCATAACCTCAGAAACATCAGAAACATGGACAGTATGAGAGAAGACTTTCTTAAGTTATTGCATTGTATACCAAACATTACAAAAATATTAAATAGTGATTACACTCACCACCAGCTGAGATGTTTGGCCCTGTTTCTACATTTGTCACATAAAAAATTCTGAATGTGTTTGTGCCTGACATACAATCCCCACCACTCTGAACTGCTGCCCCCTGCTGAAGGCCAGTTTCCAGCTCCTGGGAGTCTCCCCTTCCTCCTGTTGCCTTACAAGGCATGTCTACATTCTGGTCTTGATGTTCCCATGTAAGTATAATTTGTTCAGTTGCAGGATGTTACCATTAGATGGTGCTTTGTTCACAAAAAACATGCACAAACAAACCAACAGTACACTGCCTTCATGTTTCTCTGTACAGTATGTTTTCAGACTTACAGTAGTTGCTGGAACTTTAATGTTAGCAGTCTGTCTAATTATCATTCATCTATTTTCAACAGCATCAACCTTGATTTCTCAGTGACACTGAGACTAAGACTTGACTATTGTAATGCTCTCCTATCTGGTCTACCCAAAAATATCATAAACCAGCTTCAGCTGATTCAGAATTAGCATTTTAAAGTCTCTACATTGTGTCCTTTCAGCTTCCTGTAGTCCGGCTCTTCAGATCCTCTGGTACCAGTCTATTAATTGTTCTGAAGTGCAGGACTGAAACCTGTGGTGAAGCAGTTTATATGCTTCGAGCTGATAGAACAGTCTGACCCAAGAGCAGCTGGAAGTGTTGAAATGTTTTAATGTAAACTCAAAAAGAACCTCTTTAGCCTGGCTTTTAATTAAATATGGTATTTAGTCATTAGTCACTTTATTTTATTCACTTATTTTATTGTAATTATGTTGTAAATTTTATTTTATTCCATTTTACCTGTTCTTTTATTATTAATTTTCTGATGATGTTATTTTTGTTTGCTCATGTTATTATAGCTTTTTAAATCTATTTTATTGTATCTTTGTCGCTTTTTTCCTTGATTTGTCCTTTTCTTTTTGCTCATCAGTCGTCTATGAACTTGAACTGCACTAACCTGTATGAAAAGTGCTATACAAATAAAGTTTGATTGATTGATTGAACCTGAAATTCTCCACACTAGCCCAGCTCTGTAAAGTCACTCCCTCATTACTACTCTGTACACAGCAAAGAGGCAGAATCAATGCTTATGAGTTCTCTTACTGTGTTTTATCACACTGGATAAGTTACACACATTGTTGCAGATTTCTTGTCAAACATGTAGAACATGGTTAAACACAGGTCGCAGAAATATGAAACATGTTACAGGAGGATGACTTCTCTGTGATAACTTTAAATGTCTTTATCTCAGCGGTGATGACTTTTCCAGTTACTGTGTCTGTCTGCACAGTCAGGGTGGTCTGACCATGATGTCCATGACAAACTTATAAATAAATATCAATATTTCTAATGCTGCAATGTATGCTGAAATACATAAAGTCTAATTAAAATCTAATGTCATCAGTAATTTCAAATGTATATACTGTGCCCTAGTCAGTGCACCTGACTTCATCTGCTATCAATAATGCATGTAACATAACTGATCAGGACATGTCCTGGGTGGGTAGTGTTAGTCATTAGTGTTGTCACAATACCAGTTTATGACTTCAATAAAATACCTGCCTAAATATCTTGATACCAATACTGAAACGATACCACGGCAAAAACATTAGGAAAAGTAATGTAATAGATGACAGAACATGGAACTTAAATATTTTTTTAAATTAATATAAATTATGGTAATGTTTCAAGACTTTAATATTTCAGTTTGATAGCCTTTGTACACTGTAAACTACTTTTGAGAGAGCCTGTTCTCATTAATTGTAATTTTTAAATCTAATTTGACTAGATAGAAAACTAGAAAATGTGCTTAGTAGACCTCTGCCAGGGAGGTGTATTAAGTCATTTGTGTTCAGTCTACTTTAGTGCTTGACTGTAGTTGCAAGCTAATTATCCTGGGTGTGTGCTACATCACCATGATGTGTCAGACTTACAGTTATTGTCACTTATGTTTATTTTCATGCCCAATAAAATTTTACTTTATGTGCTGTTAAGTGTTTTCTCCTTGTGTTTGACCACGAATAAGTAGATTGATCTGCATATTTGTGAAAGCCTGATTTTTTAGCAGCTTGCAAGTTATGATAAAGTTAACATTACCAGTGTGAAGCCTGCGTTTGCATATAGAGCATACATTGGTAAGTTAGCTAAAAAGGAAAACCCAATCAAACAGTTATCATGCCCTTAATTGCCTCGTCAAACTCAAATTGTGAAAAAAAGTTTGCTTGTCACAAAATAAGTCGCCATTGTTTGATTTATATTTGAGGACATGGGCATGATGTAATTATGTTGTCTATCACATTCGCTAACCTGACGTTCTTTAAGTTCTTTAAACAGGTCAGCGAGATGCTTTGCCTAGTTGGACGTGCTGCCTCCCTTGGTCTGTGTGAGTTTAAAGCATCTTTTAAAGACGGGCTTTGTGGTGTCCGGGCTTGCCCTGATTGTCGGCTAAGTAATAATGCTATATTTCGCTTTGTGCGTCGTCTTCATCGACAAGTCGTGGACGTGTATTTTCACTTGTATTTGCAGCCATTTCTCTAGTTATGTCTTCATAAGAGGTGTAGGGTGCATATGAGAGAAAAGGCACGCTCCCTATACTGGCAGGAGCGGAAGCAGAGTGCTGCAGACACACAATGTCGCACATTGATGCAACTCTTTGAAAATATGGCTCTTATTAAACTGTCAAACTGTCATCCTTAAAGTATTGGCACTAAAAAAAAGGGGTATCCTACCATTTTTAACTGCAGGGTATCAAGAGACTTTTTTTTAGTATCAGTATATCGTGCAACACTAGTCATCATGGCTCATAGGATGCTTTCATGTGTTGTTTTGTGTACTTACTCATAGTTACTGCACATGGACTTGATGTCAGATCAGCAATTTTCAACTTACCGGCAGGGGCAAACCCTTATTTAAGGCTGCACAATTAATTGAAATATAATCAAAATCACAATGTGGCCAAGTGTAATATCCAAATCACAGGAGATGCCATTTTGATTTTTTGATGAAGGTAAAATGTGTCACATCGTTGTGCATTGTTAGCACCATAAGTGTTGTGGTGCTAAAGAGACACACAAATCATATTCTGCAGACATAAAGGAACATGATTGCTGGATGCAAGACACAACAAAAATCACATAATTTTTAATTTTTTTCAGCAAAAATTAAATGCAAACACAACCATTCCAACTGAAATCACAATTGCAATAACTGGCACAATAATTGCAATATGAATTTTTTTTTTTGCATATCATGCAGCCCTCTTACACACATCAAATATTATCAAAACAGCTGATTTCAGGGGCACTGGATCAATAAAAATGTCCTCTGCTTTCTGTTTCACCACGTGTGTCTTAGCCCCTCCCACACACACACTAGCAGAGGAGAGTTGACAACTCATTATGTTAAGATGTTGGAGAGAGAGAGAGAGAGAGAGAGAGAGAGAGGATGAGAGAGAGAGAGAGAGAGAGAGGTGAGGCTGGGACCAGAGCAGAGAGTTAGCTACTTAGCAGTGTAGCTGTGAATGAAGCAGTGTGTCATTGTCAGTTAATGGTAAATATTTTGAAGAGTGCCATATAAATTATTTTTAGACATTTATCCTCTATATAGCACATTTGACACGTTTGCTGTCAGTTCAGAAGAATAATCCTAAAACTTCTTCAACAAAGAGGGAGAAAAGTGAAGATGTCCAGACAGAGAGCAGCAACTTTCAGCACAGGAGAGACAGACAGAACAAAACCATGAGACAGAACAGGTCCTGAGTTTAAGAGAGATTTATATTGATACTGTCATGAAAAGCTTTGTTTCAGTCTGGTCCATATTTTTGTCACTGATGTAGTAAACAGCTGAATCATACACTCAGAGCGTGGTCTTTGGAAGGGGTGGCTCTGCTTGCCTATCTGTAAAAGTCACCACTGGTTTTATGTATTATGTTTTCTATGCATTCCACTTTAAAACGCAATATGTGAAATATTTGCTTTGTTTACCATGACCAAACTTCATCACTGCCAAAAATTTGACGTCCATCTTGAGAAAGTATGTTGAGGTACAGTATGTAAAGTTTGTTTAATTCCATTTTCAAACAGACAGCTGGTAGTAGTTACTTTTTTATGCCATGGTTTGTCAAATAACTTATGGTCATTTCTATAGGCTTTGTAACATATTCAAGCTTCTTATTCTACAGGTTCTGCAGGTTGCACAGTAGGTTCTACAGGTTCTACAGCTGTTGTAACACAGTTTACTAAAATGCATTCAGTAGGTTGTTTCAGGGTCATTAGGTTCTGTAAATGTGGATCAATACAACAATGTGTTGACATAAAAAAAAATTACTTTTGAATACTTCAGTAATTTTAAAATCAAGTACTCCAGTACTTTAACTCAAGTAAAGATCTGACTGAATAACTTTTACTTGTATCAGAGTAATATTTTACCAGGAGCATCTATACTGTGACTCAAGTTATTGCGCATATGTTGGACAACATACATTTGGCCGCTCTGTATAAGATATGGTCCATTTATGGCCCCTTATTTAGCAAAATCCCACATCCGCTCCTGCTCTGTGGAGTCCTATAAATGCGACTTCATGACGCTGCAGCGGCGGCAATAATGGAAACACTTGTTCCGTCTCGCTCTTGATTGACTGCTGTAATTTCTACAAACCACTGTTTACTGAGTTCATTCGTTATTATTGGCACAAACAGAGGGAAACTAACAGCTTCACCCGGCTTCGTGTACCGTTTACTAATATTTCCTTATCAACAAATAACACGGGTATAAAGAAACGTGAAGCTAAAAGTCACGCCATTTAATTACTACCAACCTGCTCGGTGTAACCGAACTTCAGGCTTCAGAACAGCGTCCAGTAATCTGCGCTGTCGCTCGTTCTCCAGCTTTGAACGACAAAGTTCCTCCTCATACTCCGCTATGGTCGTTTCAAACAGTCGAAATATCTCCTCAGCTGCCGCAGTCAGGCGCTGGTTCACCAACACTCTTAACATCTCGCCTTTAGACATGTTCACAGTTGCTGTGTGAATACTAACATGCTATATACTTTCGCTGCTAAAACCACTGGCTTCCGTGTTCTGCTAGCAGCAACCTACGGCAGCAACACCAGAGCAGCTTCCTGCTCGAATCTTTCAGAATAAATCATATTTCTTTAGAAACGTTGACTGATAAAAAGATTATATGTCAAAATAGTCATTCTCTTCATTGTCATTATCACTGGATTTATAGAGAAGAAAGGAAAACCACAAGCAACCTCAGCAAAGTCTCATCACACTTTTTTTAAATATTTTTCACATAGAATTTCTTTAAAAAAAAAAAAAAAGTAAAATAAATAAAATCTGGAATAAGATTAAGGGGGAATTACTGAATCCTTTTGATTGCCCAATAATATTGTGACTAAAAATATTGGAATCAGTCTCAATTACCCATCCTTCTTAAGTTTATGTGTATTCTCTCTGAAAGCAGATGTGAAGTTCACAAAAACAAAACAATTGCTAAGACTCAGGACATTTAAGCCTGTCCTTGAACCCAACAGAACAGCTAGGCCTCAACACCTCCTTGTGCAACTGGGTTCTGGACCTCCTCACTGGTAGGCCACAATCAGTCTAGATGGGTAGTTACACCTCCAGCACCAACACAGTGAGTAATGGCACTCGCCACAACTTTGTGCTCACCGTACATATGACTGCACTGCATCATCCAGCTCCAACTGCATCATTAAGTTTGCTAATGACACAACTGTCATCAGAACCTATTCAGAACAATGATGAAACAGCTTGCAGGGAAGATGTGGACCTCCCATCTTCAATCAGGATCTCTGGAGCTCAGCCAGACTGACCTCAGGCTCTTCGTCTCCTCTCTTTTCCCTGATGTCTCAGTTAGTCCAGGTCCAGGTCTAGAAGTCCTGGTTGTTGAAGAATGATGGAGACCACTGTTCTTCTCAGGAACCTTCAGTGCAGCAGAAATGTTTTTGAGCCTCAACACAATCCTGTCTCTGAGCTCTGCAGCAGTTCCTTCCTCCTCATGGTTTCTGCTCTGATCTGCATTGTCAACTGTGAGACCTGATATAGACAGGTGTGTGTCTTTCACATCATGTCCCATCAGCTGAGGACTCCAGTCAAGGTGCAGAAACATCTCAGAGAGCATCCAGAGAAATGGAGGAACCTGAGCTTAACTTCAAGAGTCATAGCAAAGTGTCTGAATACTTATGTCAATGTGATATTTCTGAACATTTCTAAAATTCTGTTTTCACTGTGTTGTTATGAGGTGTAAATTGATGAGGGAAAAAATCAACCTAAGGCTACAACATAAAGAAGAATCACCTACATGTGGTTGTCTGCCTCCTCCACTCAGATGAGTTTCAGGTTACATCCTGTTTATTTCATATATTCATATAAAATATGCACCATTTGTGTGAAATTTGGTCCTAATTGCTGTGTGAAGTCTTGAGTAATGACTAAAAAGTATTTTCTGAGGTCACCGTGACCTTGACCTTTGACCCCCAAAGTCTAATTAGTTCATCCTTGAGTCAACGTTTCTACCAAGAAATTCCCTTCCAGGCATTACAGAGATATTGTGTGAAAGCCAAAACTGTGTTTTATGAAATCACTACGCCCTTGAACTTTGACCCCCAAAATCTAAGTGAATGTTTGTGCCAAATTCAAAGGGACTCCCTTGAGGAGTTTTCGAGATATTGTGTTCACAAGGTCAAATCATGTTTTGTGAGGTCACAGTGACCTTGACCTTTGACCAACAAAATCTAATCAGTTCGTCCTTGAGTCCAAGTGAACGTTTGTACCAAATAAGAAGAAATTCCCTCATGAGTTACGGAAATAATGCGTTCACAAGGCCAATACCACGTTTTGTGAGGTCACCATGACTGTGACCTTTCAGCTTCGACCACCAAAATCCAGTTTCATATTTGAGTCCAAGTTAATGTTTGTGCCAAATATGAAGAAGTTCTGTCAAGGCGTTTCTGAGATATCATTTCCACAAGAATGGGATGGACAGACGGACAGATGGGCAACCTGAAAACAGTATGTGAAGAAAGTGAAGGGGTGTGAGGACTTTCTGGTGACAATGTCAATAAAACTGAACCTGAACTTGAATTTCAAATCTGCTCAGAGTTGAATCCATTTTTAGGTTACCTTAGAAGTAGCAGTAGCAAGTATGTGACAACCTGTAATATGTCCCGCTCACTACATATCTTTGAGTTACATTTATGAGATCCTTTTGTGTTTGTCCATAGCAAATATTAGTCAATAATCTATGTCAGATTTTTTTAAAACTCTTAAATATCAGTATCCATTGTCAACTACAAAAACCCAGTCAAGTATTTCTTCAGACAAATAGTTTCGGTTTACTTTTGAAATATCACTCACCCTGAGATTTCTTATGTAGGTGAAAGGAATTCAGTTTGCAGTTCCCGCAACACTTTTTACATTACACAGAAACATCTGTTAAGAAACGTATCCCCATTGCTGGTCAAGCCACAGATCATTCCTTGGACTTCATATCTATTATCATAGATATACTTCCTATCATATATATTAAAACAAAAAGGTTTTTACTACAAGAAGTGAATGACCAAAGTACCAACTACTCAACAATCTATAGCATACTAATGCAGTTAAACTGTAAGTTATACTGTAAGTGTATTTTGAGTACGTTCTACTACTTTAAATATTACAATGACCCCAATGCATTGATCGTAAGAATTTTATTTGAAAAGGCATTTTAGTGCATTATGCAGGTGTAGTTTACACACATCTACAAATCCTGCTGATGCTGTTGAATATTTAAGACAGTATGTGTAGAAGAAAAGCAACACATCACAACATACAAGTAAATGCCCTGCATACCGTCTGCCTATCTAAAACTACATGGAGGTTTAAACCTTATCAGCTGTATCACTGACATTCATCTTATAAAAAAAATGTACATTCATGTGGACAATGATAAAAATAAAAGGCAGATAAAATTAAATAGTAAACATTTCAAATATGTTACAGCCAATTTGTCTCAAATTTAATTTCAAGATAATATAAAGTAAAAATTGCAACAAAATGATTTGAACTCAAAGTCCTTTTACTATGGAGCTTTCAAGCTCACCTTGTGGTCTTCATTGGCAGATGGAGTTTGCTTAGTTAACTACAATAATAAATAATAAACCATAATAATCCACAAAATGCTAGTAAATGGGTCTTTAAGTTAACATTTGTCAAACTGCTGTTTTCATCCGGACCCAGACGGCATCCTGTATGAAGCCAGACATTGCTGCTGTTGTGTTACACACCACACCTCTGATTCCAGAAGGCTGGTATGCTATCACACACAGGAGCGACCAAATGCTGGATTTGTTTGGTTCAGTGTCAGCAAAGACGGCGTAATGGAAGATTTTCAGCAGCAGTATAGTGGGATCTGTTGAAAAAAGGCTTTAGCTAGATGTACCGAATAAACTGTCAATTGTTTTATATCATGATATAGTAATTTTTCTGGAATGTTAATTAAACTATGACTTGAATATCTATCTTTATAATATTTGGCTGAACCAATTAATTACATACCTGATGAGTAAAGGTGATTGATGTCGTTGATGAAAAAAAACAAAAACAAATAAATAGATGAATCATACATGAAAAACCAATAAAGCCCCATTCAGCAGTCTGTTTCATTGATTTGCAACATTGCCCTCAGTCTCAGTAGTCTCCAGATCCAGCTCCATCTCTGACCACAACACTAATTGGTAGGCATTGGTAATCCTCCTGAATGACAAGACTATGGTTTCAATATAATAAGTTACAACTAAGCTCAACCAGCAGCCTGGAGCGCTGCCCTAAGCAACACACTCATGGGATTTATTGGTCGACATCCATGTAAATCTTTTCCCGGAAACAATGTAGCTCTATGGAGCGTCCCCTGTGTGGACCTTTATGTGAGACTTTGGATTTGCTTTCCCATTAAAAGTTCTTGCACGGATTGAGCAACTGTAGAGTTTCTCCCCTTTGTGGAATTTCATGTTTGAGCAGTTCCTTCAAATTCATTTTCACAAATTGACCAGCCAACAGCTTGATCATCTCTATGAACTGTCATATGGGATGGTAGAGTTTCCCTCTGGTTGAACATTTTTTCACACAGTGGTGAGGTGTGGTCTGACTCTGTGTGTGCTCTCATGTGTTTCCTCATGCCCGCTTTATAACGAAACCTTTTGCCACACACTGAGCAGCTAAATGGTTGCTCCCCTGTATGAATTATCACATGTTCCTGCAGATGTTGTTTCCGGCCGAATTTTTTACCACAGACTGAGCAGCTAAATGGTTTCTCTCCTGTATGACCTCGAATGTGTCTCTGCAGAGATCCCTTCAAGCTAAATTTTTTACCACACTCAGAGCACTTATACGTTTTCTTGCCTATACTACAATGACATTTTTCAACAATTATATGGACTTCATTATGTTTTACAAAAGTTGAACCTGGCTGAAGTTCCCTTGTCTCCTTCCACTCGTCATTACTGTATTCAGTCTCGGAATCAGAAGAGTCTGCCTCCATCTGTTGAGCTAAGCTGCTGGCTGGAGGCTCTGTTTCTCTGTTCTCCTCAGTTTGCCTTTGATGAAGCTGTGAGGACCGAGTCTCTTCATCATCTTCACTCTTCACAGGGACACCGGTGAACTTGGTGATATCATCTTCCTCAAGTCCTTGAAACTGCTCTCCCTCCTGACTGCTCCAGACTTCCCCCTGTTCCTCTTTAATGTGTGGGGGCTCTGGGTCCTCCTGGTCCAGACTGGTCCTCCAGTCCTGCTGCTCAGAGGGAACCTCCTGTTTAATTGCCAACAGCTGTGTAACATCTAAAAGAAAGAAGAAAAAGGATTCTTTGTTATGGAGAATCTCTGTTCGAACCACCACCAAAAGCAGTCATGTGGTACAGACGAAACGCGAGGCTTCACACATCATCAGTGAGGTTATAATTAAGCAATATCACATGAGACGGAGTGATGCTGCGCTGAATATCAGCCCGGCTGTGATTAGGTCATAGGTATGAGGCTGCTTATACAACAGTTCTACAAGCGCCATATTAGTTCAATAAACAACAACAGATTATGGTTTGTTTGTTTGTTTATTTTATCTTTTATTTGGCTACCCCAACACAATTGGTTCTGCAACAGGACTGGTACTGGGCTGCTGCTAAGCAACACAAACATTTTGACCTGCACAGTGCACACTATCTTGCTACTTTGTCTTCACGTTACCTCCGGTGTGCGCTGAAGTATCCAGGCTTCTTCCCTTCATCCTATTCTGACGACCAGACATCATTTAATTCACGTTATTTCTGAAAATACTTTCATCTGTGCTATGTTTGTTACAATCTAAGATTGATAACGGCCGCTGATTAACGGTTAATAGAACACCTGTGAAACGGAGTGATACATGGAGTTAAAAGTCCCAGCACTGTTGTACTCTTTCAGCACTCATGGAATTACTCTCGTCCAATAAAAGTACTTGGTCTGAACTAACTGTTGTGCAAGTCTAAAATGATATAAGCTCCACCGGAAGAGTTCAGCTGCACTTCGAAGCATCTAACTTTAACGTCACTAAGGACAATGGAGGGTCGACAATATAGTGGGCTGTCGATATATATTATCGACAATATAGTGGGCTGTCTGTAAAAAGGGTTTATCTCTCTGCTCGCGACGGGCTGCCCGTTTCTATGCTCCGGACCAGCTGCCGCTTATGGGAGGCTAACTGGGTTTTTTATGTACTAGCAGCTGGCTACTAGCAACCAACCAATAAAAACCACTGACTGCATTGATAAAAACACAGTCGTCGTCGTCCCCCCCCCAACATCACTCCGCCATTCATCGTGGGAAATAGTGTCAACGGACTAAACTGATGCCGTAATGAGATCGGTGAAACAGAAAAAAGCATACTAACCTGCTTTGGTTACCTGCCCTACAGGCCTCTCCACAACCTCTAACAGTCTGCGTTGGCGCTGAATCTCTTCTTCATATTCCACTATAGTTGTTTCAAACAGTCGAAATATCTCTTCTACAGCCGTACTCAGCCGCTGGTTAACCAGCGTCCTCAGAGTCCGGATTTTACACATTGTCACACGACGAACAGAAACAACTTCTCCAAACAGAGTGAAGAAAAAGTCGGAGCGCAAGCGGCTGCTGCAGGTGTTGTGCCAAAAAGTGACTGCCTGCCAAAAAGTGATTTGCGTCCGCGGGAGCGCGCGCAGCCTGTTAAAGCTGAAAAGCGCAGTTCTATGCCTCTACAGCTGCTTTCATCTGGATCAAACAGCCATTACGAACAAATACACTAACTCTATGTCCGAGCTAATGGTGATGTTATGTATGTGTGAGACGATAACGTTTATTTCAACAGAATTTGCGGCCATAAACGTGTTTGCTGTTTATAGTGTAATCAGGCATGATATTAACGTGATTACAGTCAATAATGTTATTTTCATGTTTGTGTGTTTGTTATGTCTGACATCCTTGTTAAATAGACTGTAATTAACATGATGTATGTCTGACTTATGTATGCAATAAAGACATTTGGGACTGAAAGGGTTTTCTGCCTCAAAATGACTTCAAATCACTCACCACAATTATGATTTGAAGATTATACCACAACCAATACTCTTTACCTGTTGAAAACTCTGTAAAGGGCCAGTGCAACACATACAATGCAGTTTTTTACTTGCCAAAAATTGATTCCTGCTCCCAATTTGATACTGAAAGGGGTTTTCTTCCACAAAATGACTTCATATCACTCATCAGAGTTATATTTAGAAGATTATACCATAACCAGTACTTTTCACTAGTTCAAAACTCTGTAAAGGGCCAGTGCAACACATAGCTTACCCAGTAATGGAAATGAATGATGAAATTTAAAGACAAGACCTTGTTGAATGTCTTAATTAAAACAACGTTCCTACCTTATGACCATAGAAATTGCACTTAAGAAGAAATAAGCCACTTCATAAGTTTTGTCACAAAATTAAATTATTTTATACATACATACATACATACATACATACATACATACATAGATATATAAATACATACATACATACATACATACCAACATACATACATACATACATACATAACCACAACTATCATAAAATGTGTGATCATCATGCGAAAAAGATACAACTATATACATTCCAGATACATGCCAGTAGTTACAGTTGCTACTGGCATGCTACACAAATAAATTTCCTTCTGCCTTTTTGTGGGTTCTTGACACAGCTCCTGTGGAACCACCTTGGGCACATCTCACAGCCAATCTGAATTTGACAACAGGAAAACAAAGAATTATGATTAAATTGTTATACAATTATAATTTTAAACACTAAAATAAATTTTGTTTTGTGCCTTCATGTCTTATAGAATTTGAAATAACGTTTAGGGTTTTTTTAATAAATCTAAGCCGGACTTAAGAAGGACAAGGAAAACATAAGCAGATACCCAATGAGTGTCCCCATCCAGCTCCCCACAGAGATGACACAGGTCAGTCAAGTCATCTGCTAAAACAAGGAACAAGGATAATTTCCTTTGACTGTGAGCAATGTTCGTCAGAGTAAATGATAGCCTAATATATTAACTATAAAAAGGAAGAAAAATAAACACCTGTATTCTCCAGAAGAGAGACAGACAGCAATGGTGTTTACACCAGAAGTTGAATTGTCAAATTCTAGAGGTGATCCACCCAAAATACACTCAGCAAACTGTGAATAAGAGGTGCAACAATGGATTTATTATGGGAAGGAACAGTAATCTTACAATAAGTGTTTGAAAGGTATTGAACCACCCAATGCCCAAAATTAACAGTAGCATTAGTCTTTGTGTAATTTTAATTAATTAAAGCAACCCAATGTAACATGGAATGTCCAAATAATCTTAACTATTTTACATTCTAAATTTCCTCTGTATAGACATATCAAATAACCTGACTTTTGAGTAATACTCTTACTTTAACTTTGACAAAAAGGAGCATTGCACTTGTTCTGTGCAAATTTTTCATGAATTTATTTTCTAAAGCCTTTGCATCCATGCACGGTTATCAAACATGTCAAACGTCAAAAATTTGAGGCTAAATTCAGAGTTAGTTTTAGACCATCTAACAAATGATGGAGTTAATGTGATTGACATTAGCCTCTATTAATTCATGTTACAACTTTCAGATGTCTCATAAATGTTTCTAGATTGTCTACATGTAATCATAATAGCCAGTGTGCAGATTACCAATTAAATGTGTTATTTTGATGATCCAAGAGCTGTAACTTGCTGCTGTAGATTCAATATTACTTTAATTCCAATCCTAACATTATGCTTAATCATGCTGTAATACATACCTTCAATGCATAGGCCCCACAGGATGTTGCATCATGTTGAAGTGGGTGAGGCTTTGTTTCACACGCCCATCTCGAAGGATTTAGCCCCCTGTGTCTCATGAGTGACCTAAAAAGACAAATACATATAATTTATATATGCAGTATAAATTGGTCCAACCTTACTTTAACAGTCTTTTAATAAAGTAAATATTTAAAATATCCACTGCATCAATGTCATTATAATTTTGATAACAGCAAAATATGCAAAGTTTCTTACTGGTTACAATCACATTTAATAGTGGAATAAAGCACAACAATGGAGAATGAGGAAGTAAAAACTGGATTTTAAAGGAAAGGAGACATAACTTAGACTTGCAAGTAAATCAAGTTTTGTAAAATCCGAATTCATTTTTAGTACAATACTGGAAAACAATATTAGTACAACCTTTTATTAGCTTTAATTTTTTTCTCATTTGCTTGATAATTGGGATAGGAAATCAAAAATATAGGATACAATAAAGTAAGACTTTGGGAAAGGGACTTATCTTAACATGGCTGGAAAGGATGATGATTTACTGTAATACACAGATGTTATTTCCTTGTCCATGATTTTTTACCTATTGTACTTACAGTGTCCTAAAAGAATGCATACTAAATTACCTCGTGATGTCCTTGCAGTGTTCAACAGATGTTTTTCTTTCACCCAGTGGATCCAGAAAAACAGTTTTTCTTTCTGCTGGTAAGATCACCTAAATATAGAGTTACAATTTAATAAATATGCTGTATGAGTAGCTTTGTAGTTCTTCAGCAATACTATGCAGACCGCATGTGCAGCTGAAGAATACACACGCACGCACACGCACGCACACACACACACACACACACACACACACACACACACACACACACACACACAGTATTTTTAAATATACATACATATAAAACACAATACCATCAAGTTGAAAAAATAATTACCACGAGCATCCAGTGATGATCCTCATTGACAATGCCCACGATGAATTTGTACAGCTGGGGGACAATCTGTAAGATGACATAACAAATCAAAAAAGCATAGTGATTATAGTATATTGTGCATTATTTCTTAGTACAATAACATGAGATAATATTAGTACCTTAATTTTGGGGGGGTTTCTCTGCCATATCTGTGTAATTTCAAAGGAGTCCAGTGCAACAGCCCTCTCCGTGTTCTCCTAATTATATTTTTTTACAAGCAGGGTCAGATATGCATTGATAACCTGTAATTTAAAAATAAAAGGTTAAAAACATATTTAGCATGTCAAACAATAAATCAAATTTTGTGTGCCTAACTGAAAACTATGGTCAACAGGGAAACCATTATAAAAGAAAAGAATGTTAACACCTCACCTCACTTTCGAACTCCCTTTGTGGACCAGTGTTAAAAATGTCCTAAAGAAAATCTTATATGGGCCGATTTTGGAGAGGAGGACATAGACCTTCTTCCTCTCCCATGCATCTCTCACATCCATAAAAGCAAGTTTTAAAGTTTGAGGAATAAAATTCTGTCAGTACTTATTTAATTGATCTTCAAAAATATCATCAATATCATTTTACTCAAGTGGTCAAATACAAAGCTGGCAAGTCTTGGTGTTGGCCACACACACACAAACACACACACACACACACACACACACACACACACACACACACACATTGTGATTGTATAGCTGTGTCTTTACATGTGTAGTTAGTTGATGGATGGTAGCATAGTGTGATAAATCAAGACTGTAGTTAACTTTGTTAATTGTTGTGGAGATTTTAATAAACACTATTGTAGTTTAAAGAGAAGCCATTTTGGTCATTATTGTGTATGTTTATTGTGATCCGTGAATGATTGAGAAGGTCTGAGCTCGAACTTAATCCATCATTAGGTACTTGTGGTCCCTGATCACAGAAAGCCATTGCTCGAAGTGAACTATTAAGGTTGTGAGACTGTAAACTAGTTTGGTTATTGTTCCCGGTTTCCGGGTGGTGCCCCGCATTATTAATTAATATTAATTACCATAATAATACTGGTTAATAATTTAAAGTTGTAAATCAATGATTTTTCAGTGATATTCAGAATTTCTAGTTAATAACCAAACTGCTCCTAACAGACCCAACACAAACCAACAGAGGATGGGACGGTAGCTGGGCCAGCAGAGGACGGGATGGTGTCACGACTGTCACAGGGTTTGAGGGGTAAGGCTGGACCCAAATGCAGCCAACACATGGGAGGCGGTGCAGAAAGGTTTATTAAACAAGATGCTTACACACAACACTGGTGAAGCACAGGGAAACACATGAAACAGGAACAGGCAACATGAACAGACCGAGAGCAAAGCAGACATGAACAGACTGAGAACAACCACACATGAACAGCATTGCAACCAACCAGACATGAACAGGCACATGAACCGACGACAACAAACCCAGAAATCAACAGCCAGACAACAGAGTTACAACAGAGAGACAAACCGACACAGACAAAGGGGAACACAAAGACTATATAGACAAGGGAGGCAAGGGTGATTGAACACAGGTGAAACACATTAGGGCGGGGCAGACAATCACCACACAGAAACAGGACCAAGACAGGAAGCAAAACACTGAGACACACAAGGAAACCAATTACAAAATAAAACAGGAAGTGAGAAAGTCCACACAAAACTAACAAAAGGTGTCTGTCATAGCAAACCATGACAGATGGTAGGCGAGCCTGCAGAGGACGGGATGGTAGGTGGGCCTGAGGAGGATGGGATGGTGGAACAATCCACTGAAAGTTTGTATGGAACTCTTGGTTGTTCCTCTGTATACGCAGCCAAGTGATCTGTATTGATTTTTGGGATCGTCACTCCTTGGCTGTCTACAAGGTCCACACTTTTCCCTGCAATTGCC